GGATTATGTAGAAAAAGTAGAATTGGACTGAAAGATCTATCGCTTTATCACCTATTCAGGTTGTAAATCGTGTTTTTAAAAAGTAACTAAGTAATTCATTACTTTTGAAAATAAGTAATCAGTAAAGTAATGGGATTACTGTTTTGGGGAAGTAATCAGTAATTAGTTACTGATTACTTTTTTCAAGTAACATGACCAACACTGGTGAGGAGTAATCCGAAGCGAACACAGCAGCTGCCCTGCACAGCGCTACCCTTCCAGCGCATCACACAGACCCGCCGTGTTCCCCCGCAGGAAACAAGCATCGAAGGCGTTTGGAAAGGGAGGGGGATAAGTGTGTGTGTGTGCGTGTCCATAGTTCGCCCTGCCAGGCTAAGTAAACAGTCTACCAGCCAACCCAGGTGGCCTTGTATGGAGTGGGAAGGAACAGACTAAACACAGTCGTTATCAGGGTGTTTTTGTTCGGCTCCAGCCTTGCAGCTGGCGCCAAAGGGGCTATCCGCATGAAGTGATTGTGCTTTTTACTTTAGTGTGAACAGCTCATATGAATTTCAAAGCAGTTCTACAGTCCAACACTGGTCTCTCAATCTCCCGTTGGAGAGCCGCGAGCTTCGCCATACTTGCGTTCTTTGATGTTGTCATTTCTTGTGCTCATGATGTTGGTTTTGATATCTGTTGAGAGGGAAACATGAAGATGAAACCAGAAGATGTCCTTAAGTTGTCATGTGATGTAAACTGTTTAGAACTCATACATATATACCAACAAGACAGTGTCACAACAGCATTTGTTGTCATCCAAAGGCTTTATGGTTTTTCCTATAATACCTTGTGGCCACTCTCTAGTCAAAATGCCCTGACCGATTTTTTGTCCCAGTCCAGCTGACCAGGTGGTCAAGGTGCAGCCTCATGGTCTCTTGCTTCTACAGCCGAACAGAGCAGGCGGGCTAAAACTTTGTTATCGGTAAGCTGAAGAAATTAATCTCTAACGAGTTAAAATGCCATCCAAACTGATAATGTTCACAAAGTATAATTTTGTACTTGTCGTAGAGGACAGAGTGAAACCAGAAGGTTTACTGAGCTGTGGCTTCACGTAAATGCTGAGCATCCACTCGACGGCGGTAAGCTAAATGTGGCTAATCAGACACGTGATGTGCGGAGTGTGGGTACAGTTGTTGGGTGTCTCTGAAACGCACTGTTGATATGCTAGTTAGATCGTTAACCAAGTCATTAACATGTGAAAAGCTGTAAATGGTTAAAACAGCTGAAAATAAGTTTATGAGAGATAATTGTAAGCAGACTTTATGCTGCTTCCTGCTTAATTTTTTGATGTCAATCATTTGTTTTACAATACAGTGGAACCCCGACTTAGGAATACCCCATTTAACGAAAAATTCAAGTTACGACGGCACTTAACGGCAATATTTCTGCCCGTGTTATGGCAAAATGCCCGTGTAACAAAATCCACTGTCTCTAATTGGCTGATCCTAGAATGCCTACAATGCCCACAATGCCTTCCAAATCATGTGACAACCCCCTTGGCTTTCGTACTTGAGCTTCGCTGTTCCACTTGAACGACGTAT